GTCATCGAACAACAAGATTCCCACTCAGCTGGATTGGCACAATGGGCTGAAACATAACAGTAGTTGTTTGAATGGTGCAGTCCCAGGAAGTGTTTAGTTCTATTGTCACTATGAGTCAGAACTGACCACCACCACAAACAGGAACTCTAAAAATACTTTTATATGACAGGAACTGTACAAAGATTAACAAATTTCTGAGTATTTTTTTCTCTGTGAGATCAATAGCAATTTTTGTGGTATGTGTATACTCTTATGCTAATAAGCGATAGGTTTATAGCTATTTTAGAAATAAATTTTCCTTATCAAGCTTTTAATAATCCCCCCCACCCACTATTTTCAATAGGCCTTCTCTGCTTAAAATGTTACCTGCTCTAAGGATCCTCAATGGTGAAATACTTAAATCTTATTCAGAGAGCCACACTGAAGGACAGTACCAGGAAGAAACAGGAAGCTTTCTGGCAGTTTGTCGGTCACAGATTCAAGAATTAAATACACTAATTGAAAACTATATAACTGGAAATGGGTAAGATTATATTCTGGCATTGTTGTAATTGAAAGAAATAAAATAATTTATGTATATGATTGAAGTTATTCTCATTAACATGATTATACTTTTTGTATTGACAATGTTTTCTAAAAAAAACAAAGCAAAACAAATTATGGACATCATCTTTTTATTTCTTAAATATATTCATATGCATTTTGAATATAATTTACAATATACTTAAAATATTAAAATGTTAGGTACAATAAATGAAAAATTAATATAGCTTCAAGACAAGAAGGAATCACTTATTTAGTCACTCATTCAATTAATCACTCATAAATTTATTCAGTGGGATCACAGTGACTCTGTATAATAAGCACTGGACTGTGAACCGAAAGGTCAGTGGTTCAAGCCCATGAGCCTCTCCACTGGATAAAGTTGATGCTTTCTGCTCTCTCAATGATTTAAAACCTCAGAAATCCTCTACAGGGTTGCTCTGAGCTAGAACTGATTCGATGGCACTTAACAATAATCACAAAAATTTATTCATTAACTATTGTAGCCAATAGTGTTTGCTAGTTGTTGGATTCTATCATGAAAAGTTTTACAGGTGAACAAAAAAGAATATCAATCAAATAAAAATAGTTACAATGCAGCAAGGCCAGTCTTATATGTATTTAATAAGTAAATTAATTATGAAATCATAGTGAAAAATAGCAGTCAAAACATGCATGTATTGAAGATAGAAGCGAAGGGAGCATTCTAATGAAATATCAAGGAAGGAGAACTTATACTTCTCACCCTGAATACTAAACACATAAGTAGGAATGAATTATGCTGTTATTGTTCTTGGGTGCTGTCAAGTTGGTTCTAAGTCCTAGTGACCCTGTGTAAGGTTTTCTAGGAACAGCTAATGGGTTTGAACCGCCTACTTTGTGGTTAGCAGTCCAGCACTTATCCAACAGCGCCATATCGGAATGAATTATAGCTATCTATACTGGTGTGATGCTGCAGACCAATGCGTTGGGACCTCTAGGTCGGTTTGAAATGCAAGGTTGGCAATTCAAACTCACCAGCCACTCATTGGAAACCATATAAAGGGTAGAGTCGCTATGAGTCAGAACCAGCTGGACAGAGCTTAACAGCAGCAGCAACATAACTACATTAGAACTGAAACTATTATATATGCTTCCAAACATATATGTAAATTAGATTATTACTTTTTTCTTTAAGCACATATGGTTGTTAAGTGTCATCCAGTTGGTTCTGACTCACAGCGACTTTGTATAAACTTTCTAAGGAGTGGCTGTTGTTGTTGTTGTTAAGTGCCATCGAGTCGGGTCCGACCCATAGCCACCCTGTACAGGGTTTCTGAGGGTGTAAATCTTTACGGGAGTAGAAAGCCTCATCTTTCTCCCACGGAGCGGCTGGTAGTTTCGAACTGCTGACCTTAAGGTTCGCAGCCCGATTCGTAACCACTATGCTACCAGAGGAGTGGCTAGCAGGTTTAAATTGCCAACATTGTGGTGAACAGTCCAGTGCTTATTCTACAGTGCCCATCAGTACTCCTTCTTTGAGTATAGTATTTATATTTTCATACATGCTGATCATATTTAAGAGTTGGTTTTAAATTTCAATGTGTTAATATACTTTATTCAAACTTAAAATACGTCACAACTTTAGAAATATTTTCAACTCTTATAAATAATGAATGTCTGCTTTAAAAAAATACTAATGTTTTTGCACTGATTTTTTTGTGTATGTAATTCTAGTTGATAGCTCCTTGTTTATGTGTGGTAACATAAAATTGTGTTTGCCAAGGTGACCTTTGACATCCCTCAAGATGACTTTTAGGTTTATAATTCCTTTGTACTATTATGGTCACTACAACTAAAAATTTTGTCTCAAAAATGAAAATGGACAATAGAATGTATTTTATCAATTTAACATGTAAATGGTGGTGAATTTAACAACTAACCATAAACAGAGTTAATATTTTAATATTGAATTGACCCTTTCTTAACTTATTAGTCAATTTCAATCAAGTGGATGAAATTCAAAATACCAAAATATTTTCAAGGAACCAATGTTTTTATCTAATACTTACTTTTGTGAATATAGAAAATGTCTAATTATCTCTGTTTTAGAAGAAAATTATACCTTTCTTTTTTGTTGTTGTGATTGTATTTTTGGTGTATTTATTTGTTTCCTTCATAGTGTCAGAAAAATTTAAGGCAGCTTGTGGCTACATATAAATATAGCATATAAATATTTTTAAAATAAAAAGATATGATAAATAAAATCTAATCAGGAATAAGGCTCATACAAGTTCAAAGTTATTTTTTATTTGTTTTTGAGAACCTAGAATTTGATAAACTGATAAATTAAACAAGTCATAACCTTTATAAGATAGAAATCTAACAAATGTTCAAGAGAACCACAACAATTTATGTCTTCAGTATTTGAATTCTCTTTCCAGAGAAGAAACGAAATAAAAACTTTCCCTTAGTATAAATAAGTTCTTTATTAAAAACTAGAGCATAAATATTTTTACTTTATTTCATAACTTCTCCAAATTTAGGCTACCATGATTCCTCATGTTTATGGTAGTAAAAGCATGGATTTTCCATGTTTATTTGTAAATAAAAATACCTAAGTAAAAATGAATTTTTAAAATTCCAGACATTTTGTTGGGACTGA